GACAGTCTTGAAATAAGAACGGACTATGAATACCGCTCTTAGATATCTCTAATTTATATATCTGTAAATATATAATGTGAATTCTATTTATATTCATTATTATATTTAGTCCAAATTGTTTTATAATTTAAAAAATGATTGCGTTTATCTTTATTTAAAAAATGTATAATTTATTATTAATCTTTATTTGAATGTAAAACATCAAAGAAAGTAATAAAGATTGAGATATAACTCTTAATACACACCTTAATTTTGCGCTTTGCTCTGTGGCATCTCTAGCACTTGTTCAATCCTATATTATTTGCGCGATTCTTGTAATCAGTAATTGTTTGCGTGTGGAATATCTTTGATGTTCAACATTACGTCGCGTGTGTGGAGTATCTTTGATGTTCAACATTATATTGCGTGTGTGGAGTATCTTTGATGTTCAACATTATGTCTCAATTTTTATTATTCTTTTAAATGATTCATACTTAAATAAAAGTTAATAATATTCTATACATTCTTTATAAAAAAATTAAATTGCAAATTTTCTTAATATTGCGGAATATTATTTGCATTAAATGCGGCTTTGACTATCAGTATTAAATATCTTATTGACCATTATTTAATTTTTCAACTAAAAAATTAATTTATGACACTACTATATATTTGCTCCAAATTATTCTGTGTTTGAAAAATTCTTTAAACTTACGTGTAATGCCGATTATAACTCGATAAAATAATGTTGACTTATTTAAAATAAAAAATATACAATAAATTCCAGAAACTCATTTAAAATGTAAAATCGTAAGAATTGATAAAAAACTGTACGGCTTGTGTGAAATAAAAAATGTCAAATAGATTCGGGAAACTTATTTAAAAAACTAAATAAGAAATAAGTTAGAACTGTATAGTTATGTAAAATAATAAATACTAAATAAATCTTTTTTTTTATTTAATTTAATTTAACTTAACATCAGTTAATATCAAATTTTTTATATACGTGATACATATCATTAGAGTTCAGTATATAATAAAATAAAGTTAGTACCACTTGAGTTTTATTTATTAATTTGGTGGAATTTAACTTAGCGTCTGTTGATAATCAAATTTTTTTATACAAACGATGTATCATTAGAATTAAGTAAATATATCATTAGAATAAGTAAATAATAAAGAATAGTATCACTTGGGTTTTACTTTTTAATTTTTAATATCATCTTTTTTGTCATTTTCTTCAAAACGAAGAAATACGAGCATATTTCTACAGAACTTTTTTCTTAGCTCATCAATTTCCTACTCCGAAGTTTCGACATTTATATTCCAGACACCCTATATAGTCTTCATTTTCTTCAGAGATGTCAGATAAAGCATTTTTTATGCCAACATTTATTTTGTCAAATTGCCATAAAACTGCTAATAAACTGCTAATTAAAAAAAATTGAATCATAAAATCTTTTCTCTAATCTCAAAATATAATAGCATACCACTAAATAAGACTTAAAATGTGTAAATAGTAGCTTGTCTGTAAGACACAGATTCTTGTAAGAACCGCTAAACGATAACTGCCTGAATATTTCGTTATAGGATAATTGCTTGAATACTTCGTTAGATAATGGCTGAATTCGTTAATATTAGATTGAGTAAAAAGTCATCGCGTATTTTTTAGCTCAAAGTTGTATATAGAATATCTTCGTCAATAATGAATGAAATTCAAATTTAAAAAAAGGGTTTTAAAGCTTGAAATCTCTACTTTTAAAAGCTTATCACATTTTTTAAGTTTATATGAGTTTGATAATTTTTACATACCAAAAACTACGAGCTGAAAAAGACGAAAAATTTTCTTCTCACTTTGTGGATTTGTAACGTGTCCAAAACGAATTTGAGAAAATTTTCGATTACCTATCGTGAAAGCTTGATACTTTCCCTACAAAATCGTTTTTTTTTAATATTCCTACGACTTTTGATTACTGAGTTATCGCGGATTAAATAAAAGAATTATTTTGACTTTAATTGCTCATAACTCCATTAAAAATTGTCGTATCGTATAATTTAAAAAAGAGATTTTTAAAGCTGAAACTTTACTCTGTTAAGATATATTTATATTGTTGGTAAGAAAGTAATTGCGGTTTTTACTGATAGATGTCTTTTAAAAAAACGCGATGACTTTTTACTTAACCTAATATATGAATATTGTTACTGGAAAAGATGTAAAAAAGAACAACATCTGATTATTATCTGCATCTCCTAAATCTTCACTCTTACATTTGCATTTGACTCTCATTAGTTCTTTACTAAATTTTTATATTGATTAAGAATAAAAATAAAAAATAGTAATAAAATTAAATTTAACTATCACGTTTTATGTTTATATTATATTATATTTTTTATATTATATTATTATTATAAAGAATTATTATAGGAGAGACCGGATCTCGCTAGCACAGTTTTTACATTTTTGGCATTAGATTTTTTTAAACAATAAATTATTATATAATAAAAATATATCAATATGATACAGAAAACTTCTCTCTACATTTTTATACTATTAATGATTCTATACACTGTATAGTTTCTTTGCAAATGAAATACGATATGCTGCATTGTAGTTAATTTAACTTACCCTCCCCCCCCCTCTCCCCGATATGTGAGGTAAATTGGTACATATCAATATGAATTGCCTCTATGATAAATCTTATATTAAATTAACAAAAACGTAATAGAAAAGTAATAGAAAAGTAATAGAAATAAAAATTAGATAGTAGATATATACTTTTTAATAAAAATTGTATATTAAATTAAACAAAAACGTAATAGAAAAGTAATAGAAATAAAAATTAGGTAATACATAGATAAGGACTTCTTAGTAAAAATTGTATCTTTAAAAGTTATTTTATAATGATTAAATAGCAAAATGTTGTTACTGAAAAACAAGTGTGAAATATTTTAATTCTATCTTATTTTAATATAGAAAATATAAATGACGTTTTGCCAGAGTTAAATTGTTTGAATGTTCGCACGTGCAGTTCAGCGAGTTAACCTAGCTAACCTTGTCTTGTGATATGTGCCAATATATTCATCCTTGCACACATCTGATTTTGATCAGATCTTATTATAACAAATTACTATTATTACTCAAAATAATGTATTATATACTAACAAACACTTGTCTTTTAACTAATAATATATTGCTTAGATTTGCTTTCTCAAGCAGAAGGACATTAATATAAAATTACGAAATGTTCAAAAAGTTACTTTCCTGCTCTTGAATCAAACTTTTTTATTTATCTATTGTAATAATTATTTGATTTAAATGAAACTTAGGGAGAAGTACCTATTGTTGTAAAAAAAGAAATATTTTGCAAAAACTTTTCCATTGTTTTCTTTATCATAAACGATACGCAATCGCAATGTCAATTTGTCTCTTATGCCAAGAGTCCCAGTCTCCCTTATTTATCTTCACTTTACAAAGAGCATAAAATATATTTTATCAAAATTATCAGTTTCAATTCAAGTTGACACGTGTCGTTAAGAGCCATATAAATAAAATGCATCCATTAAACTAATCATTATTTACACTTACATTAGTACAAAGACATAATGTTGCAAGATAGTTATATATAATCGTTTATGCCTTGTAATAATACATAAATAAAAATTCCGCGAAAAGGAATGCAATCTAATCTAAATTATCTGCTCATTCTGTTGTTCAATACTTGCTGGTCGAATGGCATATACGAGCTCGTACATCCTAATAAAAATTTCCGTTAGAAACAGTTAGAAATAGAAAAAATGTAATGGTTTCTAACGGAATCCTATCCTATTGTAACTGCAAGTTCGAAGAGAAAATTTAATTCTTATCTGTTCTATCAACATTATTGTATCTGCAAATACGGATAGCAAATGTAATAATGTGTAACTGTATCTAATGGAGATCTATCGGCGTATCAGCATCTATAAGCTTGTGGAATAAAAAAACGTGTCTGTTTCTATTCGCATCGGATTTTGGCGATATCTAATTCGCAATTGCGAATATCGTATTCATCTGCATCTGTATATACGCAATGTGGATTTTTATCTATCTACAATTACGGATACGATTTCTATTTTTGTCCGCATTTTGTATGCGTCGAATTCTGATGATATTTATCCGTAATTGTGGATATCGTATCTAACTGTATCTGTATGCAATGGGGACTTATAGGAGTCTGTAATCGGATACGATTTTTATGCTCCGTTCTGTTACAAAAATCTTCAGTAAAAATCATATAATTCTAAGATAGTCGTTAGACATATGTCCACGTCGGCGTCAGAAATACATTTTTATGTATTTCTAATAATTCTGAGATAGTCCTTATAAATGGTACAGTGAAATATCTGTTGTTTTCTCTTTGTTGATTAATGTTCCAATTCCCGATTATATAATTATTTTTATTTAACATAAAATTTTTCCTTTCACTTGCAAGTCTCGATTATACTTTGAACGATTACATGAATTACAAAAAAAAAAACAATGTTCATGAGTACACTTATGCAAATAACGTAATTCATACGATTTCCACTTTCACAATTAATGCAATTTGTGCAATTATAATAATGTAATTAATTTCTCGTTTTCATCATATATCATCCGAAAAAAAATTGAGCGTATCTTTAAAATTATCTGTCAATAAAACAGTTCAATACTTTTTTTGGTTGAACTGAATAAACAAAGTGTTTTCCAATATCATAATAGCAGACATCATAATAAGAGATTCAACTCTTCTATCTGCTCCCTAAATTTATTTCACAATGGTGACGAATTAATGCGTGCATGATATTCATTTTTTAAAGTAAAAAGTCGTAAATATTTTTGCATTTAGTATACAAATTTATTAAATAAGTCGATAAAGGTTTAAACTTTGATTGAGTTAATGGTAAAACATTAGCTTCTTATTCGAAAAATTTTTTAATTTTACATTTTTAACATTACAGAATTACAAGTATAACTTAATTTTCTTTTATATGCGATGGTCTCATCTCACTGTTTCTCGCGTCAGATAGATATCAGTGAATGGTTTGTACGATGCAGTAGAAAATTGGAATTATTTTTATCACGGAGAGTTATTCTTCATTGCCTTCCGTGAAATCGATTTGCAAAATCTAATTGGCCCCGTTGGAATTGTTACAGGATGGGAATTCCGAGTTTTATAAGTAGTTCTCAGAAGTAATAATTTTGCCAATAAATCAATGACAATTACTGTATATTTTAAAGTTGCGAAATTAATTCAGTGGCATATTTTAGAGTACAATTTTCATCGCTTTTTGTTATATTTATGTCGTTTTCTTATACTTTCAATTGTACTATTAACAAAGATTAACTCGATTCAAGATCAACAGCGATTTTTTTTACATCCTAAAGTAAATGATTACTTATGAAGAAATTTACACTGAAGAAGATCCGGATCGAAGATCGAAACATTTATGAGGGATATGGGATTATTTCAAATAATAAAAGTATATAAACAGTAACTTTCTTTGTAAACTCATATTGGCATTCAATTTTAATTTCGTCACTTCATCAAAGTTATAACATCGATGTTATAAAATTGGCCAATCATAGCTATTCCTTTGGAGAATGGAACAACTATGATTGGCCAGTTTCATAATATTGATGTTATAATTTCGTAAATCGAACTGTGTAAACGTTCAATCACTATCACACGAGCTATACATCGTCCCAAACATTTGATTTTTGTTTTATGCAACGTGAAACTCCATATATAAATAAAAAATTATCTAAAACTATAAATATCTCAAGTAGCCCACCATAATCTCACGCTATTATCTCTATGTTCGCTCTTAATATATTGGCCATATTGTCTCTGTCCGGAACTGGTTGCTATTATAGGTAAATTTGTGTGTAAGCTTACTCCATTTATACAGTCTTTGGATAGTCTTATTTTATATTTTGGATTCAAACTCTCTTCATCATAATTTGTAATTTCTGGTAACTCCCATACAATGATATTTCCATCAACACTACCTATGGAATATGTAACATCAATTAATGAGGTATATTGCATTGCTATTTATCATTTTACATTTTTTAAACGGACCAGAGATTATTTGTTTACTGTCAGGTGTGATAGCAAACTGTATTCTTTGATTAGTGTCCGATTGTCTTCCTTCAAGAGAATAAAGAACATTTCCAGGATTACGGAGGTCCCAACATAGAAATTCACTATTTTTCCGAACAACGGAGAACAATTTCATTCCACAAGAACTAAATTCAATTTGTGTTACACCACTTTCAGTTTTAAAGGTGCATAATGGCCCATCCTTATACAAACCTTCAAGTATATAAAAAAGAAACATTACGTCTTTTATAGCAGGCATATGTTTAAATTCTAAGTAGAATCGTAAAACTTGTAACATATTCTCGTAAGACTTATAAGAACTTTTAAGTGTCTATATACCTTTATACAATATCTTTACAGACAGCTTCTTACTAGCCATAAGATTTACAAGAAATCGAAGATATTTACTAACAACTATACGCCTTACAATATGTACGCATAAAATTAGAATACTAGTCATAAGTTTTACGAGAACAAGTTACGAGTCTTAGAATTCTGCTTAGAATTGATCCAAATATCAGAAATTTTATATATTTAATTAAATCTTATCACAGATACATACCAATACATTTAGAATATGTACCGAAGGCAACTAAGCCAGGCATGATTGGATTTTCACGGATACACGAAACCAATCCGGTCATATTTGGAAAATCATGTTTAAAGTGAATATCACTTGTTTGACGTCCAGGATGATCTGTATCGAAAGTTCTTACAGCGTTCTTGAAACCACACCATATTTCCCTTCCTGAATCCACAAATTGAACACTAATAGAAGCTTCTACTTCGTCAACTCTAAAAAAAAGTATAATATATATTTTTCCTCCTTTTTTATGTACTCTCACAAAATTGTATTGAAAACTCGAGCAATATTGCTACTACTAACTGATTATAAGCTCGGTATGTTGCACGTAATTCTCCTGTAAATGCATCCCATAAATGAACAGGACTCTCTCTACTGGTACTAAGAAAACAGCATGTTGTAGGTTCCCATGAATTCATATAAGGATACCAGCAAGTATTATATATAAGGCCACCTTCTTTAATGGTCAAAGCAGATGTAAAATCGGTCTGTGTAAAATCAGATGGAATTTGGCCAGAGTACAATTCTCTAGGAAGCTCATAAAGGCGTATCTTGAAGTCTTCCGATGGTACGAGTAAGCACGTTCCATCTGGAGACCATTGACAACCTTTTGTAAAATTCTCATGCATATCTGTGGGCTGATATTCCTTAGTCGCTACACATAACATCTTTGGTGCTCTTGACCAGTTATAATTATAGACACAAGGAGAATCTGTTGAGCTAGCATCTTCTGAATTTATATTTCTTGGCTCTGTGACGTTTGTAGCTTCATCGTTTCTTGTTTGTTTCATTATTGCAAGATTTACTGTTGGTTTTGATAAGGTATCATATGTTACCTATAATTTGAAGGATCATTATTTTGCAATTCGCTTAAGTAATATAGCAAACGATATATTACATATTAAATAAATTTTATCAAATTATATGTAAAGTATACTTGCCTGTATCTGTCTCAAACTTACATGTGACTGTGAGAAGGTGAAGAAGTCAGTTTCGTCCGGCATTTTACTAGATCCCAAACAAGCTTCCTTATTCAACAAATTGCAGGAATCTTCGGTCATTACGAATAAATTTGATTGCACTGGATTAGTCTCATCAGCTTTGCTTTCTGCATTGTTTTCTTCCGTTTTATCATTTTTATTTAAAGTTTCACATGATGTTACTGACGTACGTAATTCAACGTCCATTCCCTCACATTCCATTGTTCATTCAGTTTACTCACAATCAGTTAACTATATGAAAACACAGATTTCTCCTAGAAAACTTCCATTTATATATTTTTATATAAAGGATTGCAGCATGTGTTTATACTTAATCATTGAACCAGATTGTCAGATTATCTCTCGCATAACGATAGTTTATGAATAATCCACGTAAATTCCTCGGATTTATCAAAGTTAAAAGAGAAAGAAGAAGACAAGGAGATGGATTTCGAATCTTGCTATAAATTCCTCACTTAATTAGAAATTGTCGTTAGTTTAAGTTAGGTTAAATCATGCGTGGATTTTAGTTGCGAAATTATACGTTTGGCGCGTTGCGTTCGTTGTGCAGTTAGAGGCCCTAGAAATTGTAGTATCCCTAGGATACCGAGCTTGAAAAACTCCTTTTCATTGGTCCACATACGTAGGTTCTGAAAATGGTAGTACCAATCAACATGTAGCATACATTCAGAGAACATTCAATTTTGAACTGATCGTGAGCAATCTACACGACTGTGTTCGGGGAGGCATTGTTAAAAGAGATAAGTGTATGAAAATTTAATGTACTTTCCATTTACGGATATGAGTGATATTTTAATTAACTCTAATACGTTAACATTTATGTTCGTTATGCAAAGTGCGCATATATATCGCACCGCGAATATATATCGAAATATTCGAAATACACGGCAATAGAATTCTATTCTGAATCGCGATGTAGACTGTCATTTGTTAAGCAAGGACACAATTTCTTTTTTCGCCATATCGCCATAATCGTGATACGGCCGTCGCCGTAATACGAAAAATCGGTTTGTAGGTGGTTGGTATAGCAGCGCGTACCGGTGCTTATCGCGGGGGGCGACGACGCAACGGCGTCGCGACGCACGTCGGCTAAGATCAGCGGGCCGTGAGTGGGAGTCTCTTCGGCGGCGGCCCTCGAGTAAGCGAAGAGTCGAAGACTACCCGAAAGAGTCGTGCTCCACTCAGCTCAGTCTGTCCGCGGGCGTCCGTCAAGCAGACTTCTCCGGCTCTCTTTCTCCCTACCCTTCCTCCTTACCCTCCCTCGTCGTCGGTCTCTCGAGGGCCTCGCGCCTCGCGGAAGACACATGTCGTCGGCTGGTGGTGCAGCTGCTACCGGCTAACTCGCGTAAAACCTTGCGTAGTTAACGTTAATTCAAGACTAAACTCTCCTAGTTTTCATACCATTCGTCGGGTCGTTCGTGCGCGTCGTGCCGCTCCTTGCTTATTACTATTGTTATTAATTTCTTTCGTGTTTTCGTCTTTCGCGCGATCGGTTCTCATATATGAAAGTGACTCGACAGAGTGACAGAGTGCTCGTAGTGCGGCCAGTGACACGCCAGACCAGCGGACAGGATGTGGTCGACGAGGCTTCTCTGGGCGAGCCTCCTCGTCGGGCTCGCGATCGTCGTTTCACCAACCTGGCACGTCGCCGACGGTTTCAACATCGAGACGAAACACTATGCGGTGTATCGCATGGAGGAGAGGTCCATGTTTGGGTTTGCTGTGTCGACGTATCGTGACAGATATGCCCGCGGATGGTGAGTCTCTTCTTTTTCTTCATCTTGATGAAGTTTCTGAGAAACGAGTAATGTGAGAAAGACATAATAATTCAGTGTGTTACACTGCGTTGCCATCTTTATCTCTTGCTAGAAAGCATCCGAAATGAAATGATAATTATTGTCAAATATTATTCAATTGGCTACTTTGATTTTTCATTAAATGTACGATATCGTAATAAAAAAGTAATCTGGAAATATCAATAATGACAAAGATTAAAATTTCAATTAGAAAAGAGGGTACTGTCGATTGTTGATATGTCACGGGATGAATCTTCATTCGTTACTTTGGAAAAGGCGTAGCATAATTCGATAACACACGGAATATCTTGGAAAAAAAGAGCACTGTTGTACTGCCATATCTATGCTTGTACACTAAATAATCATATCACTAAATAATCGTTTAGTATATATCTCAGAATGTCCCCCCCCCCTTCCACTGAAATTTGAATATTAAATATTGAAACTATACAAAACTATGCAATGCGTGCGATATGGAGAAATTGACGCTATAACGCAATTGGAAAGTGACTGAAGTTATAATTAGTTTTATTTTTTATTTATTTTTTGAGAGAGTCATCCAGCAAACGAGAATGGATTAAAATGGATTGAAATATTTTTCTATCCGAATGCCTATTTTAAATAGCGAATACTTTTTATTTGGATTTAATTCGATTCAATTGGATTCAATTAGATCCAATTGGATGCAATTGGATTGAAAAACTGCATTTTCTATTCAAAATTTTAAATTGGATACTATTCGCAATGCACAGAAAAAGCTAATGTTATTTTTAGATTGAAAGAGATATGCTCCATGCAATTCCTATAAATGAATAAAAATGCATTCAAGATTGAAAAGCATTCACTTTAACATTCGTGAATCAATATTTCTGAAAATCCATTTCAATTCATTTCAATCCATTCTCATTCGCTGGGATAAAATTCTCACATAAGTAAATACTGTATAGATGGAGGTAACGTAATAGGATTAGATGAATGCTTTCCTTAAATAGGTAAATTTTTAACTCGTTAGCCAGGTGTTTGACTCATCGCTTGATTACACATACGATTGACTCACTCGCGAAGTAGGAAGTATTGAATTTTTTTAAATTATCATATGTGACTCTCGTCTTGAATTTTACCTGCATCATTATGTGGATAAAAATTATTTGCGACAGCATTTTATTGTTCCGAAAAATATACGCTTCTCACAAATAACGAATAAAACTAATTTGTCCGGACAACGTGCCATTGTATCGATGATTTCTTCCAATATTGTGCAAATATTAAAAATTTTGCTTTTACACATACGGCACTGATTATTTGTATTTATACAATATTTGAATAACTAATGAAACTATCAGTGGCGTAATGCGGACATAATTTTTTAATTTAACACCTGGATAATTTGAAGAAATCATCGATATAATACTGCACTATCGTGATAATTAGTTTTGTGACTAAACATTTCTTGCGAAATGCGTATGTCTTTTGAGAAAGTTAAAATATTACCACAAATGATTTTATCAACATTTATGATGAGTCGCTCAGTAATTTAAAACGTCCAATACTTCCTATTAATTTCGTCACGTATACATATTTATTTGCGAATAAAAGATATTAAAAATTTTTCAGGCTATTTTAACGAAAGTCCTACGACAGCAGCGTTTCGATGCTCTTACATTTCTTCGTACGAAATAAATGTCGTCAGTCGTGCGCATTGCAAGTCAGAACGGCGCGGCGATCTGACCTCCCGTTCGAGATATCACCCGGCAAGATGAGGATTTCCATCTCGTGTTTCATCTTGAGCTTTAATAACCTGCGATAATCCCTCGTCCATCATCGATAAGTACGCTCCAGGGGAGCGTTTGCACTGTTTGCAGGGACGTTGCAACCCCTGGAGACACACGCTACGACTCTCTTCCCGTTGCAATCTGGTGCACGAACGGTGAACCGTGAACGTGCTCGTTGTCGAATTTCGTGACTCACGCTCGCGACGGGCCACGAATAAACGTTTCTGCTCCGGCTCCCGCACGTCGTCGGTCGGCGACAATTATAAATAATATCGGCGAAACGGGGAAACCCGGGTAATAGCGCCGCCCGCATATATCGTTATATTCACGGGAAAATCGACGTCAGTGCCAATAGCGACACACAATGGAACGCTGCATCCGAGGCCTGCGGCTCTTTGCGGCCGATTAGCGATCAACCGTGAAATGGGCACGCTTATATTCCCACAGTATAATATCCCCAGTGATAGAAAAAAATGATCTCCAAATCTAATAGTAATCCAGAAACGAGAGAACCCATTAAACCTCATTTTTCTTTGATAATAACAATTATCTGGGTTATTTTTCTAAATGAAATGATTAACTACGTATTGTATGTTATTCATTGTTTTACAATTTATCAGTATTTGAAATTATAGATTTATACTCAACATTTTCTAAAAACATTTGTACTAAATACTTTTTTAAAAAAGTAAGAAAATACAGGTACGGATTTTCAATCACTAAAAAATTGAGAATGATATTTATCTTTCTGCTGCTGAGTGTAAAAATCATTCTAAAGCACGTACTGTACAATTATTCGGAATAGATTCCGATTGGAATCTGTTGTTTAGTTATAATTCTTTAGATTTCTATAATATTTTTAGGGAAAACGAGGTAATTTCGATCAAAATCTATTTCAAACAGTTCTATTATATGTGTCCGGGTAAGATGATCATCTGAATTATCTGAATTATAAGAAAAGAATGCATATGTACTTACACATACTTTTAAAAAAAAAGATGATAATCCAGGAACAGAGAAAGGAATATAATATTTTTATACATTATATGCAATATAAGTATATATTCAATAAAATTTCTGGAATACAATTTATATTTTTATTGACAATTCTTTATTAATAGATATTTTTATAAATATAAAATTGTAATTATTGATCAGAAGTTTTACCACTTAAAAAAATACATGTACTCTTGAAAAGATAATCGAGGATATATAATATATCCAATATACAGATGTATATCCAGATTTTAGCTTATATTCCCTTAAAAACTCAGCCAGTATATTTTATTCAGTCTACTTCCGCTGCAATAATTCATTCTTATATATCGGATAAAAAAATGTTACTTAACACCTAAAAATGATGAAACGGCGCGTCATGTTTGCAACAAGGAGGGAAAACGTTGGCGCGAGGAAAGAGGCGCAGGAAGTCCGGATTACTTGCGAGACCTTACGGGAGGTTTCTCTCGTGGACGCTTATATTTAGGCCAGCTCGGTGCGAGCTTTATGAGCGCTCGCGTTCGCGCGCTCGTTAATTCCACCGTTCGCAGGGATTAAAGCGTCCGATTGCCATCAATTCCCGAAATAGAACATGGGACCCGCGTTTGTTTTGTATGCCCACCTCTCGCGATCGATTTCCGTCGCGCGCGGTCACCTGATATCGTGAATTTTTAATCTTGAGATCTAAAATTAAATGGACGCGTCTTTCTTGTATACACTTTGCAGAAACGGAGCGCGAGTGAGGCACCATAATTGGATCGAGACGAATTTGAATCTTGTTCTCGTTTATTCATTCATGACGCTCGTACAGAAGAGAATCGTGGATTCTTATTCTTCTCTTTCTTCCCACGTTTTTTCGCCAAGTCAACTAGACGTTTAGCAGACTGAAAAAAG